AAGTTAGAGGACAGCCTATGCAATGCAGTTTATCATTTCTTTTCAAGGAGTATTTTGTTGAACTGGTACTGTTAATTATTAGAATATTCAATGTTGAGGCTGTTCTAAGAATGGTGACATTTTACAACAGTTACGGCGTAAGAGTCATGTCACACACACACTGGACAAGACTTATCCAGAAGTAAACAGCGAGATCACAGTACCATGTCACAGGCTCAGCTGGGATCAGAGGCCATGTGGGTCTGCTGGCTTCCACATGCACACACATCAACCCTACCTAGAGAATCAGAAAGTAAAGCTAGCCCTCCCACAAAGGAAACTTAAAAAAAAAAATCCAGTCCCTTCCTCTTCAAACAACACCCAGAAATGACAGCTAACAGACACAAAACAAAAGCCAGCTACCAAAAGATGAAAAACTCACTCAAGCGGGCAGAAGGGTTTCCACGTGTAATCAAAGAGCTGCTACTGTATAAAAATGTCTGGCCCACAGAAACAACCTCAAGAAGTCAGTCATCTTGCAGAAAAGCACAACTTTGAGCTAAGGAAGAGACAAATAGAGGGGGCTCCCAGATTTACATAATCTCTGTCTCTGTCTCTGTCTCTGTCTCTGTCTTTCTCTCTCTCTCTCTCGGGAGGTTCAAACACCTCATATGACCCCTAACACTCACAACACACACACACACACACACACACACACACACACACACACACACACACACACACACACACAGAAAGAGAGACAGAGAGTGAGAGAGAGGTGGGGGGAGATTCGTCAGACAAAGGACTAAGACAGTTGTGCGCATTAGAAGTAGCAAGTGTGTTGCCAAAAAATGGGCTTCATGGGTTGGACAAGAAGCAACTTGTATTAGTCAGGATTCTTCTAAGGAAAAGAATGAATGAGGAGGTAGAAGTTGTTAGATTCATGATCAGAGAGGCTATAGAGTCCCACAGTCTGCAGGCTGGAGAACTGAGGAAGCCAACCTCTGCTCAGTTGTTGGAAGAGCTGAAAGCCCCACAAGAGGGACCAGAAATCAGGCTGAAGGGCTGGAATGATTTTATGCTGATAGAAGTCCCCGTTGAAAGATGGACTAACCCACAATCTGATGTCAATGATCAACGCCAGCAGCAAGAAAAGCACCACTCAGAGTCGCACTTACCTGTGACAGTTCACTGTAATTACCAACTTAATCTTATGGGGAGAGAATCTCAATGATGGTTGTCTAGATCAAGTTAGCCTGTTTGCAGGTCTGTGGGAAATTGTCCTGATTGAGTTCATCTGGGTGAGAAGACCCAGCCCGCTATGGGCAGCACCATTCCCTATGTAGGGGATCCTATACTGTAGAAGACTGAGGAAAGTGAGCTTGAGTACAAGCATGCATGCATTCATCCTCTTTGTTCTTGACTGTGGATATGACTAGTCATTTCAAATTCAAGCCACTTTAACTCTCCTGCAGTTCTGGACTCTAACCTGGAATTGTGAGCTAACATGAACTCTTTCTCTCTCACCCAGGTTGTTTTTGTCAGGGTTTTTATGACAGTGGCAGAAAACACCAAGACACCACCGTGTGTACAAGTTTCCCCCTTCTTCCTCATTTTTGTTCCACTTAGACCCTCAGCCTAGGAATGGAGACACCCACACTCAAGATGAGTCTTTTCATTAGTTCACTGTCCTGTGCCAATCTCCGAAAAACCTATTAGACAAACCCAGACATATGCCAAAGTTCTAGGCACCTCTCAATCCGTTCAGACTGACAACGAAGACCAACCAGCACACAACTGAAGCCCTGGGAGTAAGCAGGAGGTGTTGGGTCCCACTGAAACTATTGGCCAGCTAGAGGAAAAAGGGCGTGGGAGAGAGGCAAGGCAAGGTCAAGATATTCCAAGTTCTCCTGCCATGTTTTACATCTATGCTTCTGATCTATTACTACATTTTCTTTAAGGACAGTAATATTTTTATCTATTGTATTCATCTTTGCATTTAGATTTTTTTCATTGCTGTTATAATTGAGGAGTGTCCTGATGTTAGAATAAAAAGAAATTATGTATTTGTATGTGGCTATGTGCACCTGCATGCAGGTGCCTGTGGAGGCCAGAAGAGGATACAAGATCTCCTAGTGCTGAAATTACAGGAGGTTGTGAGCTGTCAAGTGTGGGTGAGAGGAACCGAACTTGGGGTTCCTCTACAAGAGTAATATTCACTCTTAACTGCTGAGCCACCTGTTTAGGCACTCAGAATCAATTTTAATCATTGTCTTTTCATTACACATAAGAAATTTTATTTTCTGGCATTCACTTTAAATCTTAGCCCATGCTTATTTAATTTAAAAACTGTTCACATGTATTTATTTATGGGGGGGGGGGGCACTTGCGCCATGGCATGAGTGTGGAGGTCAGAAGACAACTTCCTGGAGTTGGTTCTATCTTTCTGCTGTGTGGATCCTGGGATCCAAATTCAGGTTGCCAGGCTTGGTAGCACATGCCTTCACCTGCTGAGCCATCTCCTTAGCATCCCTCCCCCTCTACCCCCGATCCCTGCCTCTCTCTCTCTCTCTCTCTCTCTCTCTCTCTCTCTCTCACACACACACACACACACACACACACACACACACACACACACACACACACACACACGCTTCCTTAAAAGAAGGAAAAGTTTTACTGTAGCCCACGTAATAATAAATTCCAGTGTACTGGGGTAGGAGAAATGGAGGTTGGAGGAGACAAAAACGGGGCCATGGGCTTTTTCAGCCTCAACATGCTCACAAGATACCCAGTAAACAGCAGCCAATTCCATGAATTACCACATTCAGTGGTCACAACTCAGGGTCAGGCTGGTCAAAATGGAAACTCTCCAAATGCCTCCTGTGCTGAGCAGAGAGCCAAAGTCCAGTGCTCTGTTTGCTTTCATCAGAGGCATTTCCATCCAAGAGCTGGTTTGCAGGTGTCCCTCAGATTGTGGGAATCCCAGACCCCCGGCTGTCCACGACTTCACTGTGGGGAAGTATTCAGGACAGAGTCAGTACAGCCTCCTCTGGTCACTGTGCAAACATGTTGTCACAGCCCCCGAATTCCCTTCTCCAGCTGCCATGTCCTTTATCCCCAGCACAGCTCAAATGAACAGCAAAGGGGCTGGAAGTGTAGCTCACTATGTAGAGTGCTAGCTTAGTCTGCATGAAGCCCTGGGTTCAGTCTCCAGCACAAACCACCACATGTGGTGGCACAAGTTCCTGAGACATTTGAAGACAGACTGTGGGACTCTGTCTCCATTTAAAAAAAAAAAAAGAAAAGAAAAGAAAGAAAGAAGAGTGAAATCTCTCTGTTTGTAGATACCCAGGAAGGAGGGAGCAGCTATCAGATTTCCTTAAATGAGGCAAAGGGTTGCATTCTCTGCACCATGAAAGAAGAACCAGGACATATGGCAGCCATGGACTAGATGCCCAGTGATGGTCAGTGTTGATGGTCAACTGACAGACTTCGGTGCACCTGTGAGGGGTTGTCGAGACTAAGGTTAGCCTCTGAGAGTGTCTGGGAGAGGTTATCTTTTAAATATATGTATTATTAATTCTTTGAGAATTTCATACTTTCATACATTGTATTTTGATCATATTCACCCACCCTCTTCCCCCAGCCCCTCCCAGACTCACTCTTACCCCCTCCCAACTTCATGTCCTTTGGGAGATTATCTTTATTATGCTAATTAATGTGAGAAAATCAATCTCAGTTGGGAAAAGTGGAGCCATCCCCTAGGCAGAGCAGAGGATCTTGGACCCAGGTAACAACATGCCTGTGCTCACTGCTCTCTGTTCCTGGTTGTGAGACCATATGGTCGGCTGCTTCAAGCTCCTGCTGCCTTGACTTCTCAACATGATGGGGTAACCTTGAACTATATCAGCTAACGTACACCTTCTCTCTCTTAAGCTGCTTTGTTGGAATGCATGTCACAGCAGCAGGAAAGTAACTAAGACATGCCCCGTCTTGCCAACCACAAATGAGCCAGACGGGTTAGCCCTCAGAAGCTCCCTTACAGTGGCTGAGCCATTGTAAATAGGAGCATTGGGCTTTTCCTTTGAATTCTTAAGTTTCCAATATGAACTCTGGCTAGAAAATCAGAAAATAAAACTCTTCCCCCAAAGGGGGTGGAATCAAAACATCAGCCCCTTCTTCATACAGTAGCCATATAATTCCAGGCAAAACAAAACAAAATACAAGCAAGTTATCAAAACATGGAAGATTTCACTCCAGCAACACAAGTCTGATCATTCAAACGAGGGAGCATTTCCATGTGACATTAAATAGCACCTTTTATATGAACAGTGTCTGGTCTCCAGAACAAAAAAAAAAGGAGAAAGTCAGCCATCTTGCTGAAGAGCATGACTTTGAATCAAGAAGAGTTTAACATCAGGTCTCTGAGAGTCACATACCTTCTGTCTCCCTTTCCTCCCGAAGGCTCTTAAACACCTTAGATAGCCCCTGAAACACAACACACACACACACACACACACACACACACACACTCACATGAATAAACATACTCTCTCTCTCTCTCTCTCACACACACACACACACACACACACACACACACATACACACATGCATATACACACAGTCTCCCTCACACAGACATACTCACACACACTCACAGACAGAGAAACCTGTGCGGGGTTTAGAACCTACAGAAATCCTCAGGCTGGTGTGGACTCCTCAGTACCTTGCTTATTAGTTGATGTGCTGAGGACAGAAGCCAGCAGCAGCCCATGGCCAAAAGGCTGCTAAACATTTCTCCAGAAAGACAAAGCTGTCGGGAGTACTCACCCGCCAAATTAGAGGATATCACACTTAAATAAGAACCTGAGAAACTTTCCTCTCAAACCCAGTGGAACAGAGCCTCCCCGTGATGACCACTCACTTCTCTCCTAGTACAAGACCAGACCTGACCAGCAGGAAGCAGCCCAGGACTCAGTCCAGGGTCACAGCCCTGGCCAGCAGACACCAGCACCCACCTGAGATATAGGAACAGGCTGCCAGGATGCTGCTGAGCAAAGCCATCTCCAAGGGCTCCTTGGCCACTGGCTCCGTGCTGGGGCTGAGGGGCAGCCTCATATGGCATGGGGAGGAGAGCTCCTGGACACTTCCGGATCAGCGTGGCCCCCTCCCTCTCTTCTCCTGTGTGAAGACATAAGGTGAGCAGTGAGGCACACACAGTCTGCTTTCCTGGGGTTGTGTTTCCAGCAGCCTGTGCTCAGTATCAAAGGGCCAGGGTCCCAAAGGAAGCCACCTTTCCCAGGCAGGGAGCCACAAAGATCTGGGTCTTGTCCTTCGATGGGGTGAGGCGCCTGGTTTTCAGGAAGCGGTAACACTTTACGTGTTGTTCCTGACTTTTCTCCTTTCTCTGCTCTGCTGCGGCCCACCCTCAGGCCGTTCCTCCTAGGCTTCACTGCATTCACCCTGGTTCATCTTTGAGGGACAGTCCATTAGAGCCACATCATCACCTTGGTGACCGCTCTGCTTCCGTGCCTTGCTGGAAGCCCACACCGATGACACGCATGTACTTTGATCAGGTGCCCTGTCCCTCGGGTCAAAATATGCCACCCTTGGAGAGGGGTCAGCTACGCCCATTCCACAGCTGCCACCGGGTGTCCAGTTCTAAAACGCCCATAAAGACTTGGGAGCTCAGTCTGCTCCTGGATCCCAGCTTCGTGACTCCACGGCAACGATGTGTCAGGGATTAGAACAAGGATGGGGGGATCTCAGAATCCAGAAGTGAGAGAGAAGATTTTTTTAAAAAAACAGAACAAAACAATAAAGCAGAGTAGTAGGTAGGGGATGGCACAGTAAAGTTGTTTCAGACATGGTAGTAGGGGGACTCCCCTGAAAAGGTACCCAATGTTTTTTTTAAGACAATTTTTTCATTCATTTTACACACCAATCAAAGATCTCCCTCTTCCCTCTTCCCACGCCCCCAGTCTCCCCTCCCAACCCATCCCCACTCCCTCCCACGAGAAGGCAAGGCCTCCCATGTGGAGGCACATTCAGTAGAGGCAAGACCAAGCCCTCCCCACTGCCTCAAACTGCACAAGGTGTCCCATCATTAGGTAGTGGACTCCACAAAGCCCGCTCATGCGCCAGGGATGGATTCTGAACCTACCGCCAGGGGCCCCTGTAGCAGATCAAGCTACACAACTGTCTCACCATGCAAAGGGCCTAGTCCAGTCCCATGCACGCTCCACAGCCTTTAATCTAACTTTCATGAGTTCCCTCTAGTTTGGTTTGGTCATCCCTGCATGTTTCCCCATCATGATCCTGATGCACTTGCTCATAGAATCCCTCTTCTCTCTTTTTGACTGGATTCCTGGAGCTCTGTCTAGTGATTGGCTGTGAGTCTCTGCATCTACTTCCATCAATTATTGGAGAAAAGTTCTGTGGTGACAGTTAGGGTATTCACTGGTCTGATCTCTGGGGCAAGCCAGTTCAGTTCAGGCACCCTCCGATACTTTTTTTATTACTTTTATTTTTTTAACTCAGAATTTCAGAATGAAGAGTGGGAGCTAAGGGACTCTGAAAAGAGACTGCCTGCCGGGGGTGCTGTCTGCTGGAGGGTGACTCCCTCCCCCCTAGCCTCTGAGTCACAGCAGGGCATGTCCTTCACTAGCCATTAGCATTCCTGAAAGGTGAACACTGAAGGATACAGGTAAATAGCAGGAGACCGGGCCACTGGCCAGCTCCTCGCCACCACGTGTAGGCTTAGCAGGTTCCAGGAGCCCAGGAGCCAGGCAGAGGAAGAAGCTGCTGGACTCTTCAGTTCAGATCCATCCCCTCCCACCTGTTCTCACCAATGCTCCATGATGCAGGCCACATCACTCACTTCTGAGGGTTGCAACTGTCTCCCACATGCTCATTTGGATGCCTCTTCTTCCTGACTCAAGCGAGGACCCACTCACCAGCAGGGACATATTTCAACAACATAGATTTGATCACACAGCTGCCGCCGAAGCCCGCCAGTCTCCACTCACTTCAATAACAAACACAGGCACTTCTATGACTCTAACCTCGGTTCTTACGGAACCTCCTCCGCAGGCCACACACCTACAGATACAGATACAAGCTCACCGAATGCTCCGACAATGCCAGATTGTCTTTAGTTCCCAGGGGCGCCAAGCTCCTTCATCTTTCCATGCATTTGACTGTGATCTTCACTCGGCAGGCACCTACTGCTCTTACAGAGGAGTTGAGTTTGTTTCCCAGCACCCATGTTGGGCAACTCACAACCACCTGCACCTCCGGCTTCAAGGAATTCAGCACCCTTGTCTGGCTTCCTCAGATACCCACACTCACAGACAAATACCCCCACATACATACACATCATTAAAATTAAAAAAAAAAACTTAAAAAAGAAACAAAATATAGTGATCTCAAGTTGGTCCAGGTACTGTATCATGTAGATCCCTGGCCTACATCCTCACTGCCCAGAGCATCATCTGAGAATCAGCAGCATCAACACTGATTGGCAGCTTGTTAGGTCTACATAATCTTAGGCACCACCCCAGACCTAATAAATCCAAGTCTGTTTCTAAGACACCCAGTTGAGTTGTTTGAAACGTGTTATACTATATGACCCTGTGGGCTCATGTGGCCAGCACACTGTGAATCGACACACTAGCATAGAGATACAGGACAGAAACATTCAGCCACTCCTATGTACAGGGTTATGCCATGTTCCTCCAGGAAGCTCTCTGTCCCTTCTTAGCTCCGTGAGGACTGGTTCTCAGCCCAGCTGGCTTTGCCTGCTAGCACATATTTGACAGCATTTAGCATCATTTCTGGTTGTCATAGCTACAACACAAGGTGACACTGGTATCCAGGGTTGAGGTTAGAGAGGCTGCTAAATCTTCCAAAATATTCAGGACAGGCTTCTGCCACAAAGAACAATCTGGCCCAAAAGTGTTCACAGGGTTCTAGGTATCATTACTTCCGAGTCCAGCCTAAGCCAACCTTGGGTTTAGGAATCCCATGTACACGCTGAGAAACAAACCCAGGTCCTCTACAAGAGCTGAACTACAGAGCCATCTCTCCAGTCACCATGGGTTGGGATTTTATCTACCCAGTTGGAGAATCCAGCCTCCTCGGTTCATAACAGAAAGGAAGCAAGAGACAGATGATCAGAGACACCGGCTTCCTCTTCCTTCTCTTCAGCCAAAACTCACAACCCAGCTAGTGAGGGACCAGTCTGTCTGGCCCCACATCAGTGAAGCCTGCAAGCCACTTCCTTGGAACAAGGAAGGAAGGGAATTCAGTTCCCAGATAGCAATGCCCAGATGCACCATGAAACAAACAAATAAAAAAATCTCATGCAGCTCTGTGTGGAGCTAAAACCCAATAAATTCTGACACATCTGTTCCCACAGCCTGCTCCTGCTGCACAGGAAGCCTCTCTCTTCAGCCCAGAATAGGGGTGCTTTGTCACCGGCTTCTTTTGAGTGAGTGGGAGGAATAAACAGGACCAGTGGTGGAGCTCCTGGACTGCCAAGTGTCCTGTTCCCTGTGCACACAGCCTCCTGCATGTTTTGTAGATTTTATGGCAAGGCTTCCCCTCGCAAAGGAGGCTGCAGCACCCTCCAACGTCTATTTCTCTCTACAGGGATGAAAATGAGAATGAAGAGGAAGCCCGGGCTGGAGAGGCAGCTCAGTGGTTAGGAGCACTGTCTGCTCTTGCAGATGGTCCAGGTTTGATTCCCAGCACCCACATGGTGGCTCACAACGGGCCTGTAACTCCCTCTTCTGACCTCTGTGGGCACAAGGTGCACATACAAGCAGGCAGGCAGGCAGAGCATTCACACACATAAAAACTATTATTAAAGAAGAACAGGAAACTTGAAGCACAGGATCTTTAGTCCTTTTTTTTTTGTCTGTTTTATTTATGTTTTGTTTCGAACATATGGTTCCTCTTTTAGCCCAGGCTAGCCTCAAACTCTAGATCTTCCTGCCTCAGCCTTCTGAGCTCTAGGCGCACAGGCATGCAGCTCGCATTTGAATTTGGATTCTCCAACTGGCAATTCCTTTGTTGTCATTTTGTTTTGTTTTCTTAATTTTTAAAGTTTTCATACCTATATATTGTATAGTGAGCATATCCCAGCCCTATTCCCTTAACCTCTGTGCTAGTTGGGGTTTTTTGTTTTGTTGTTTGTTATTTTATTTATATCAAACAGATGTAAAGTAGAGTCCCTAGGGATGAGGAAACCTCAAATGAGGAATCACCTCTATCCAGTTGGACTGTGGGCAAGTCAGTGGGACATTGTGTTCGTTAATGATCGGTGCTGTGAGGGCACAGTCCACCGTAGGTGGTGTGAAGCTTGGGCAGATGGACCCGGGTTATACAAGAAAGCAGGCTGAGCAAGCCAGAAAGTGCTGTTCCTCCAGGGCCTCTGCTTCGGTTCCTGTCTCCAGGTTCCTGCCCCCGACTTCCTGAGTGAGAGTGTTAAACCAAGCTAGCCCTTTCCTCCCAAAGTTGGGAGGGTCAGCATTTTGTCACAGCAACAGAAAAGCAAACTGAGACACCCTCCATTTTCTCCCCCTCCCCCTCCCAACAGTCCCTCCCCCTTGTCCCTTAGACAGTTTTATTTCTACTTTCATGTCATGTACAAACATAATTTACGTATCTATCTGACATCTGGGAACTATAAATGAGAGAAAACATATGTGATATTTGTGTTTCTGGGACTGGCTTAATTCACTTCGTATGATTCTTTCCAGTTGCATCCATTTTCCTACAAATGAGATAACTTCACTCTTCTTTGTGTGCATGTGCGTGTGCGTGTGCGTGTGTGTGTGTGTGTGTGTGTGTGTGCGTGTGTGTGTGTGTCACATTCCTTATCTGTTCCTCTGTCACTGGACACCTAGGTTGGTTCTATAATTTAACTGTGTGAATGTTGCAATAATAAACACTGGCATGCAAGTACCTCTGTGATTCATGAACTTGAAGGCTTCCATCTAAACCACCAGGAATGATATAGATGGGCCATATGAAGATCTATGTCTAGTTGTTTTTTGTTTGTTTTGGTTTTGGTTTTTTGGGACAGAGTTTCTCTGTGTAACAGTTCTGGCTCACTCTGTA